GCTTTGTCCTTCCCCCTTCCTTTTGTGCTCTTATTGACATACAAATGACATCTTTATACATAATAAGTCCGTCAACACACTTACATAATTACACTTCCATGCAGTTGTCTTTAGCACTGGATAACAGAAGAGTTCCAAAAATCAATTTGTTCTGCCTTTTGTATTTACCTATGTATTTACCTTTACCCGTGTTCTTTCCTTCTTATGTGGATTTGAATTACTGTCTATTGTCCTTTCCTTTCTCCCTGAAGGATTCTCTTCGGTATTTCTTGGAGGATATGTCTGCTGGCAATGGATCCTCTTTGTTTATCCGGGGATGTCTTATTTTCTCCTTCATTCTTGAAGGAGGATAGTTTTGCTAGATTTTCTTCAACGCATTGATCCAATAAGGCTCCCTGCCTTGGCCAAGACACTCTGTGTGCGTGTGCGTGTGTGTGTGTGTGTGTGTGTGTGTGTGTGTGTGTGTGTGTGTTGGGGCGTGATTTCAGTGCCCTGTCAGGCAGTTTATAACTTTGCCTTAGCCTTCATTTGCTGCTTGTGCAGGGCCTCAAGGCCAACCAGAGATGAGAGATTAGGGCCCTCTTAGGGCTCTTCCCAGAATACACCCAGTCCTAAACATGTGCCATGTCATAGAGATTCCTGGAAACATGTTGGAGCTTTTCAAAGTCTCCTATGGACATTAATTCTCTAGCTTTTCCTTTTAAGGTTTTGAGCAGCTTCATTTGCCCCAATGGGTTCCTCTACTTTCGGCAGCTGTGATTTTAAACAATTGCAGCTGATTAAGCCTCCCTGAAAAGGCTGTTCGCAGTGAGTGTGCTCTGCGTCAGGTCAAACAAAGGAGAGCCCTACAAGTGGGAATTTCTAAGGAGCTACCGGACAGGCAGAATAGTGACAAATCTCTAGGAATGGGGCATTTCGGGGAGCTTCCAACTCATTCTGCATTTCTGTTTTTCAGATACCATAATTGTGAGGCTGTTGGCTTTCTTCCTTTCTTTTTAATGTTTATTTGTTTATTTTGAGAGAGAAAGACAGCAAGCGAGCAGGGAAGGGGCAGAGAGAGAGGGAAAGAGAATCCCAAGCAGGCCCCGCACTGCTAGCACAGAGCCCAGTGCGGGGCTCTATCTCACAGACCATGAGATCAGGACCTGAGCCGAAATCAGGAGTCAGATGCTTTACTGACTGAGCCATCCAGGCGCCCCGAGGCTGTTGGCTTTCAAAGCTACCGGAGAAGACATAAAGAAGCGAAATAGAAGAAGCTAAAGCGCTACACATTTTCGTATTCTTACTAGCATTCAGCCATTTTTCTTGAATAAACACCTCTTGGATTGCTGCAAGCTTTTGGTTAATTTCCAGAGTTTTGAAAAAGTCGATGCTGACAATTTTTCCAGTGTCACTGCCTTTATGTGGGAGCACACTTTCAGAGTCTTTCTTCACTGTTCTGGGCAGCTAGAGCTCAAAGATAGTTTAGACTATGTCCAACTTTCACTTTACTCAAGTACGAGAGGACTAAAATCCCTTCAAAGTTGTGACTCAATCGTATGCCGGTTTGCCTCAGTTCAATTTTACAAGTTTTTATTGAACTCCTACTGTTTCCTTGGCCTTGCGCTTCCTACCTGTTTGTCAGTTTTATAAGAGATTGTGTTTAGTAGTTTAGAACAAGGGTGCCAAATCCTGCCTATGGCCTGCTGGTTTGGGGATGCCCCCCACCACGCCCCGATGTAAAAAAAAAAAAATGTTTCTCACATCTTCAAAGAGTTATAAAAGAAACTAAACCCAAACAAACAGGACTGCATGACAGAGATCAAATGTGACCAGCCAAGAGAGCCCAAAATAATTCCTATCTAGCCCTTTACAAAAAAAGTTTGCTGGCTCCTGATTTATAGTGAAGGGATGGCCAGTTGGTGACAAGTAAGTCTATTTGCTGCAGTTGCCTTTCTTGTGCTTTGAAATAATTAAGTGTTCCCTGGAGAGTCGCAAATAATAGCCTGAGAGGTAGAAGAGACCTTACATATTGTCCATCCCAAAGTCTGAATTTTCTTGAGGAAGACACCAAGATTCAAAGACTTGTTCAATGCCACAGTAGTAGTTATCCAGGGCTAAAAGCTCAGGTTTCTGAATATACTTTGCTCCTCTTTCCATTGAATGTGCCTAAAAGTTTTCTTGCCACTTCCTTCTCAGCAAAAAGCATTCTTTTTTTTTTTCCTAAGATTTTATTGTTAAGTAATCTCTACACTCAACATGGGGATCGCACTTAAAACCCCAAGATCAAGAGTTGCGCACTCTACCGACTGAGCTAGCCAGGCGCCCCACAGTAAGAAGTATTCTTAATGCTTCTCTTCCCTATTCTTGTTCTTTTCCCTCTAAGTCACGGAGAAGCCGTATGCTCCAATTTTTTGGACAGCTCTCTATTGAAGTTCTCTGTTTGTACTATACCAAGGAGGGTGTCTTAAATATCCAGGCAGTTGACCTTAAATTTTTCAGTTCCCTTTAGTATCTTGCTGATAATGTGAATGATAACGTGGTTTTCAAACTGTTTCATTTGGAGATGGGTGAGATTCTGCCCCCCCACCCCCGTCTGATTCAACTACAACAACTACACTTTTATTTATTTTATGTATTGGGTTTCCAAACAAAATTTCACTTCAATGGAGGATTTAGAAGGCAAAGAGAGGGAGAGACAGAGTTTTGAAAATCACTGATTTAGACTATGGGTGAAGTAAGTCCAAGAGGAATCACAAGTACCTCCAAATACAGCTCTGGGGACAATGGGAAAAACCAATGTCATGTCATCTCCCCATTTCCTCAAGACAGACAAAGCTGGGCAGTATTGGAGCCATGGATCCTAACTCTTGATGCAAAATAGAAGAGCATTAGGAAATAGGTTAGAAGTGGGAATACAGGTTACATTTTCTGGGCCAGGCATTTGTTCAGGGCCTGGCAGTTCTCTGGGAGCCTGATAGAAACATATATATATATATATATATATATATATATATACATACATATATATATACACATACATATATATGATATAGGGTATATATATATATATACACACATACATATATATATACACATACATATATATATGATATAGGGTATATATATATATATATATATATATATATATGATATAGGGTTTATTCACCACTGATTTTTGACAAAAGGTGCGATCCCAATCAATGACCCCTAACCTAAACCTCACATGGTCTGCAAAAAACAACTCAAAAACAGACTATAGATGTAAGTGTAAAACATGTAGAAAGAAATGTAGAAGATCTTGTTGACAATGAAAGCACCATCCATACTAATAATAAAAATAATAAATTGGACCTCATCAAAATTCAAAACTTTTGCTCTGTCAAAGACCACGCTAAAGGTATGAAGAGACAAGCTACAGAGTAGGAGAAAAAACAAAACTTGCAAGCCACATATCTACCCAGAGACATATGTAGAATATAAAAACGACTGTTAAAACTCAACAGGAAGAGATCCAATTAGAAAATGAACAAAAGATCCAAAGAAACGTTTACACTGGGGAGGAATTACAGTTGCCAACTGAGCACATGAAAAGATGTTTAACACCGTTAACCATCAGGAAAATGCAAATCAAAATCACAACGAGATAGCGCTACAAACCCACGGGAATCGCTAAAATAAAAAAGTAGCGCAAACACCAAATACTGGTGAGGGTGTGGATAAACCGGATCACTAATACTTTCCTGGGGAGAACGTAAGTAGTACACGCACTCTGGAAAACGACACTGCAGTCTTTACAAATGAAACACACAATTACGATGCGACTCAGCAGCAATGCTCTTGAGCATTTATTCCCGAGAAATGAAAACTTACGTTCATACATGCATGAATGTCCCAAACATGTATGGGAGTGTTTATTGCAAGTTTTTTTGTTTTTAAATTGTTTTGTTGTTGTTTATTTACTTTTGAGATAGAGAAAGACAGAGAATGAGCAGGGAAGGGGCAGAGAGAGAAAGAGAGAGAGAAACAGAATCTGAAGTGGGCTCCAGGCTCCAAGCTGACAGCACAGAGCCCGATACGGGGCTCGAACTCACAAACCTCGAGATCATGACCTGAGCTGAAGTCAGACGCTTAACCGACTGAGCCACCCAGGTGCCCCAGTTTGTTGCAAGCTTTGTTTGTAATAACCCCTACGCCCTTCAGTGGGTGAAGAGTTAACCAAACTGTGCTATAACCGCACTGTGGAATACTGCTCAAGCAATATAGAGCAGTGAACTGTCGCTCCAGCTTGTATGAATCTCCGGGGGATTATGCTGAATGGGAAGGGCTGGTCCCAAAAGGTTACATATTGTATGATTCCATTTATATAACGTTCTTGGAATGACAAGACTGTAGAAATGGGAAACAGATTATTGGTTGCCAGGGAGGTTTAGAGGTGGGAGATGGGGAGGGGAAAATGTAACTCTAAGCAGGGTGGGGGGTAGCACGAGGGAGCCCTTTGACAAGGATACAGGTCTGTGTCTCAGCTGTGGTGATAGTCACACTGATATACACATGTGGTAAAATTTCATAAGACTACACCCCTCCACACACACATGACTGCGTGGAAAACGGCCAGATTTTACCATTGGGGGAAATTGAGTGAAGGATATATTGGCACAAGTATACCTCCCTATACTTCAGCTTCCTATGAACCTATAATTAGTTCCAGATAAAAATCAGAGGGGCGCCTGGGGGGCTCAGTTGGTTAAGCATTCGGCTCTTGATTTCGGCTCAGGTCATGATCTCACAGTTTGTGAGTTCGAGTCCTGAATCGGGCTCCACGCTGACAGCACAGAGCCTGCTTGGGATTCTCTCTCTCCCTCTCTCTCTCTGCCCCTTCACTGCTCATGCTCTCTCTCTCTCAAAATAAATAAGAACTTTAAAAAATTAGAGAAAATACTAATTAAAAAAGCAGCTCATTGCAGAGCCTAAGATGACAAGAAAAGGAGAGTTAACTTGATGTCTTATCTTCTTAACAGGATCTGTACCTGCCTCTGTCCTTGGATGACTCAGACTCGCTCGGTGATTCCATGTGAAGGAGAAGAGAACGTTCAGAGTCCAGAGTACAAATCCAAGCTTACCGTTACAATAGGGTACTTCTGCTCAAGGGTCCAACACGGCTACTGGTGCTTTCAAGTTTTTATTTTTTTGTTGTTGTTATTTTTAAAAACACACTGTAATATGTTGGGTTTATTTTCCTGTGATTTCTCCTCTGGGCCACTGATCCACAGTTAACCAACCATAAGAGATAGATTGATAACCATCCTTTGGGGTAACTTTCCGGGGATGCAAAATGTGCTAGTCCATGACCTTTCTATTGAACACGTAGGCGCCTGTGCTATTTCTCCCCTGCCTCACTTTGCTCATACACGCGACAGTCTTCCTTCTGTAGAGGGTTGTTTACATACATAGCACTTCAAATGTGTATGTGGGAAAGAAACTCATTGGCAAATCCAAGAGTGACAAACACAAGTGCCCCTTGTCTCCCGATCTCAAGAATGCTGGAGACTCCCGGGAGGACGGCAAGGCAGCTCCCCAGGCTCGCGCTTCACTCCTGATTGAGCCCCCCAGTTTGTTGTCCCACAACAATTCTGGCTGTCAAGGGGGAGAAACACCAGCAACTTGTAATTCTGACACCAGATGTTTAGGATCCCCGTGCAGGGCTAGCTAAAAAGAGACTAGGCAGAACTGAGTGAGAAACACTGTAGACATTTCAGTAGAGTTTCTAAAGCACAGTGAATTTCTTGTCGATCTCTCCAGTGGGGCACTTTGGAATCAATAAGCAATTAAGAATTGGTGGTGAGGGACTTCATATACCCGAGTCCTCTAGGAAGCTAACATAGCGAGTTATTACACAAAACTGTACGGTATCCATCTATCTCTGTTCTATTGAATGCCTTGTAAACAGCCAACACTGAAAACACTGTGAGAATTTGTTTTCAGGTCTGACACCTTTCGGTCGCTTTTTATAGCAAGAAACCAATATCCTTTTTATAAAACCTCGTGTCTGTATTTCAGGAGCAAACTCTTCAGGCTCCCTTTTTATAAACTGGTGATTTTTCTTTTGTCTAAAAAACACATGCAGAAAATTTACCAAAAAAAAAAAATGCAGAAGAATAACGTAGTTTAGAAATCATGCTGTCACTGCCAAACAGAAACCTCCAGAAGGAAACAAAATGAATAGCAGAGGCCAATTCAATAGAATCAGTCTTTTGATAACTTTTTAACAGTTATGCTTACATTAATAATTTCAATGTGGACCAGACATTCTAATTATATTTTAAACGAAATGTTACGGCATATTTTAAGCAGCTCTTTTTTATCGATAATCCTGATATTTCATACTGAAGACACAGAAACCTTGCGCTTGTCTTTACCGCTAGAAAGGATTTCTCTTTGCTAAGGACTGATCATTTGAAATAGTTCTCGGTCTTTGAGGTACCGGTTCATAACACTGCTTTTTGTCTGTAATCATAGCCCATAACGGCAAAGACAACTAAATTTAAGGGAAAGCCATGCATGCCAATTCTGTGTTTGCTTTTAGCAGATATGAAGATTTCCTTATTTCTTTGTAATTGTTCGGATAGTTTGCAAGGGGCAGCATTCAAAGCTGAGCCGCTGTTTGGCTAGTGTTGTTCCTCCACTTGTGCTGGAATGAGCTTGGTGTGTGTGTGCGTGTGCGTGTGTGTGTGTGCACATGTATGCGCATGTGCGTGCACCAGCCGTTCCTTCAAGATTAGGATCGTGGGTCGTACATGGATCGGTGGCAACTTGGTGGCGTTGCTGATGTGCGCTATGTAGAAGGGAACCCAGGGGAGGATGGGGTATCTCAGATACCCGTGGACGAGCTTCAGGTGTCCGTAGCTACAAGAAATACTTTTGGTTCGAGAAAAGTCCTGATGATGGTAGTACTGATTCCTGGTCACATGGGTCATTGAAGAACCCCAAATCGTGAGAACCTCCTTTTGCCCCTCTCCTTTATGTGTAGGCCTGTTAGAAACCATTAAGAAGCCCATTTTACCTACCCCCTACTTCCTTGTGGAAGCTCCAGGTTTTCTTAGTGCCTCCCAGAACAATTTGTAGTTAATTGGGAAAAAAGAGCAAGCCAGAGGAGGAGTTCAGATTTCCTCCTCTGCAGGCCCGAAGCCACCTCTCTGAGCGTTTCCTTGATCGTGGCGTATGTACTCAATGGACATATTTTCTGTGGAGTGACCTTTGATCCAACCGTCTTCTGTAATAAAAGTAGATGTTTCCATCTTCCTTGTAATCAGTTAGAAGAGAATGTTTCTGTACCGCCACTTCAGGGGGCTTGGTATAGTTCCAAATCCAAGCCTTTAATAAGTGCATTTTAAATTGGCCCATTTTCAAGGCAGAAAAGAAAAAAAAAACCCAAAACATTGGAACGGAGCGCCTTCACCCCTGTCGTTCATTCCCGATTTTGCCCAATCCGGTTTTAGCACTGAAGTCATTCAGCAAGCATCTGCCACCACTCTCCTCCCCCCCTGCCCCATCCTCCCTCCCTGTTTTACGCGTGCACACACACACACACGTGCACACACACACACACACACACGCACACACACACATACACAGTCCATCTGTTGCTTGTTCCTACCTCCTGATTTTTCTCCCTTACAGAAATAGAAATAGGGACAAAGAAGGGGAAAATGTATATATGGGGGCTGGGCTGAACAACTTCATAAGTAGTGTTAACTAGGGGTGAATTGAGAGAAAACTTCCTTTTCTCTTCACTGTTTTGGAAAGGATAGCCATTAGCATGACTGCTTTGTGTCCTTACGGACTTTAGTATTAGCCTAGATTGAATCATAGAGTTTTCTAGCTGGAAGGAACCTTAGGATCACATCATCTACTCCAAATTCCTCATTTTCATGCCAGGAACGGAGATGCAGAGGTAAAGTAATTTCCCCAAGGTCACACAGCTGGCTAGGGGCAGGGCTGGGATTAGAACCCACTCCTCCTGGCTCTTGTTCCAGAGCCTTTTCCCACTGAACCGTATTGCCTTCCGCTAGGCCCCTGGGGATTCTTTGCCAGGGTCATGTTGGATCTTGGAGCCATATGCTGCTGCCCTGAGCTCAGTGGGAAACCCACCCAGCAACCCCATATGGGCTCTTTCTCCCTGTGTTCACATGGTTCCCATCCACATGGGCGGCAGATGTCCCCGAAGAGAAGGAGGCATTGAGGGCCAGCAGGAACAATGAGGTCCCAGACCTTGTCCACCCAAGACAGAGGATCACTTCCCCACCTTGAGGAGCCCTCAGAACAGCCTTCTGAGCTCCTGCCCTGTCCAGCCGGAATTGGAGGAAGCCCAATTTTCCCGGTCAGCTCACCTCCTTCTTTTAACATATGGGGAAGAGGCAAGCTAGAGGAAACGACCCGGTCTTGCTGTGGTTGGTTGTCATCCACCATGTTCCCACAGCCATCCTGCCTTGATGGGGACAATTTCCAGGTAAAAGCAAGGGGCATTGTAACTAAAATGTACCCTGGCTGATGTTAAACATCGGCTCCTTGTGTTTGCACTAAAATAGCAAGCTATGTGCTCGACACGCCATACTCATCTTCTTGGGTACACTGCTTGCTTCCGTGGCCTTTGATGGCAGAAGCCAGGGCAACAAGGTCTGAACGCGTGGTTTTCCTCGCAGCAAGGCTCTTTCTGGGGACTAAGGTGTATTCATACGTTCAGTTCCAAGAGATCTCCTTCTGGGTTTACCCCCACTTCTCAGGAAATTCTCTCTTCCTCCTGCTTCTCCTGCCCAATCAGAAGTAACCAACGTACTTTCAAGTGGACGTAGAGTTCTAAGAAGAAGGAAAATAGAAGGGGTCTGAGCCCCTAGATCCTTCTTTGAATTGCCCAGTCGAGGTCTTAGAGCAGCAATCCAGTGCCTGCCTTGGACAAAAGTGTGTCTTCTTCTCTACTGCCTTCAAAACTCTGGAAGGATATGCCCTCAGTTCTGCTCAGATGTGGTTCTAAATAGGTTTTCTTTTTTTTTCTTTTTTTTAATGCTTATTTATTTTGGGGGGAGAGAGAGAGAGAGAGAGAGAGAGAGAGAGAGACAGAGCATGAGAGCACGGGCGGGGCAGAGAGAGAGGGAGACACAGAATCAGAAGCAGGCTCCAGGCTCTGAGCTGTCAGCACAGAGCCTGACGTGGGGCTCAAACTCACGAACCGTGAGATCATGACCTGAGCCGAAGTCGGTCGCTCAACAGACTGAGCCACCCAGGCGCCCAATAAGTTTTCTTTAAAAAAAAAACAACACACACACACACATCTCCCTTGGACAAGGGAATAAGTATGCCCAGGTGCCCCAAATGAGCTCTAGCACACTGATGAGAGTGATTTCGAAGACCAGCCTACCTCCAAAACATCTATGCGAAGAGATATCTTCAGACGGATGTGCTGGGACAGTGGGGTTTGAGCAACCTCCTTAGCTACGCAATTTGTTATGGGGAATAAAAGGCACTGCAGTTCTATTTTTTGAAGAAGGCCACTGGAACTTGTACAAAGGGCCACTTGAATCTCCAAGGCCAGACCTCAGTCATGTATTGCCCCCACTGCATTGAAGGATTTGGCTCCGAGGCCTAGGCTGGTTTCATCAGGAAACCGTCAGTATTTTGAAGGTCATCTGAGATGGGCAGGGGGTGGGCATTAAGAGTCCTATGTTTGGGGACCTGGAATCCACAGAGAATAAAGTCTCAGACATTGATATGCCAGAAGTGATCTAGCTCCTCCTAGCCCCTTCCACTTTTTCTTTTCAGAGATTAGAAAGCTTACTCTCCATCAGCCTGTCTTTCAGTATGCCTGGTTAAAGAATTTTGCCCCTCCTGTCTCGTTTGTCCTCTGTCTCCCCCACCCTCGTCCCCGGGGCTTATCTCCTTCCCCAGAGATGTAGCGTGGCCTTGACATCCAACCTCTTGGTATTGGTGTTGCTTCCGGCTTGTTTCCCATCAAGGGTCCATGCAGACCTCCCACTTTGGCCTAGGTGGCGTGACACTAGCTGTCCCATGACAAGACTCTTAATGCCACTTCTGACGGCCCGCCTTTGGATCCATTAGTTTAATAGGCTTCCACATCTTCTGGAATGAGATGCAATCTTGTTTTACCTTACATGCCCCGGGGCTGGGGGTGGGGGAGTGTAGAATTCCCTTTGGGAATTAAGGCATCTTCCTGCTCCTGATTAGAAGGACAGGCTACGTGGGAGAGGTCAGAAGGCACAGCAGAAGTGAGAGCAAACACCGCGTAAAGTAAGGCAAAAACTTGGAAGCGTGAGAACTTCTTATTTCTGGGTTAATAACCTGAGGGATCAATGACTTTTGCCACTCTCTACCTCCCCTGTGTATCTCTTTGTCATTTATTTCTCTCTCCAGTTCGCTATGTTTGCTCTCATGTTTATACTCAATCGCCACTCTTTCTACAGTATAAACTCCTGTCCCTTGTCCTCTGCACTTCTCCCTCTCTCCTTTGTTGTCTCCCTTTTGGTTCTTTCCTTCCTCCGAGTCTAGGTATCGGGCGTATGCCTCTTCTTGGCCCCGAGATTTTGCCTTGGTGATGAGAAGTTATCGCAAGACTCAACCAGCCCTGATCCCACCCCAGCCCAGTCAGAAGTATGGTGGTTGGAATCGGTCTGGTCTGATCCTGGCTCCTTCTTCAACATTTTCGGTTGTGATTCCCCAAAGCAGATCTTCACAAGCAGTTTCCTTACAGCTCATGTATCTTTGGGTCTTTGCCTTCCAAGCACTGTACAGAATACTCTGTGGTTCCTTTTTAGTCTGCCATTTTGTGGAGCAGTGAAGTGTGCTCAGAGAAATTATCAGCTGAACAGAAAAATCCGCCCATGGATTCATATCAGCTTAATACTACTAACTGATTTTGTTTGATTTGCTCATAGTTTAAAAAGCTGCAATATAATATAAGGAGAGACCACAGGTAATTTCTGCTGTCATTTGGTACGGCCGGGTGGGGGTGTTGGGTGGGGGAAGCAACTCGTTTCAGGTGTTATCATGACACATTAAGCTCTCTGTAATAACCTTCTTTTTTGGGCTTGCCAACCACTGAATTCTTTTAGTTAAACGGATCGGCAATTGGGGTTGATTTAAATGGAAAGGGTATTTAACAAACTGTACTATAGGAAGAAACATTCACTTCATTAAAATGTAGTTTTCCTTCTGTTACTAAGTTCACCTGACATTTGCTACTGACATCAACTGTTTCTATCCCTGTGCGGCAGTCCATAGACGAGTAATTAGCAGGCCTCAAGAAGTCAGCTTGTAGGTGCTAATTTATTCAATAGGACGCACAGCCCTTGGGAATGTCACCGCTTGGCAATACGAAACGGAACACCCTTTCCAATGGCTTTTCTTTCTAAGTTCTCCTAAAGGGATTTGAGCAAGTAAGAAGTTATACCAAAACGTCTCCAATGTATGGTCCTGTAATATATTGCAGCTTGAAGCCAATGATCCTTTATGACTTGTACACAACTAATGCATGTTTTGATTGAAGTTTGCATTTCTTATGTGTGGTAAGTTCTTTAAAAAAAAAAAAAGTTTTGGGTCACCTTTTTGTGCCATTAAACTTGTACAGAAAACACTTTTATGGCCATTTTCAAAGGGAGAAAGTTTAAAATGGAAACAGCCCACCCTTTCTGCCCTATAGCTGTAGTTAGAACTCAGTAATTGTAGCAAAACAGCTGTAATTGGTGGTTGTAGTATTAGAGGCGTTAGCTTGCTAGTGACTAGCTTTGGAGAGTAAATGCATGGTATTGTACATCACATTTCCTAAATAACTCATTTTAACCTCTGAAAAGAATATATTCTTCCCTGTGGTCCCTCTTCCCTCCCCTGCCCTCTCCCTCCCGCTGCTCCCAGGTGTCTTATAGTTGTAAATAACTGATTTGGGGGCCAATAATGTTTGCCAAGTCAAGTCAGCAAAGAACAAACAGACCAAAAAGGGGGGGAAAGGCATTCCTTAACAGCCTCTCGGCAGCTATTGACCATTTCTCAAGGAATGACATTATGATCAAAGACTCAACTGCCCTTTGCGTAAAAACTCGGTGGCAAACCCAGGATGCGTTCAGCCATTTGATTACATTGCAGGGTAGAAGAGTTCTCGGAATCACATATAATTGAGAGACAGTGGACAATGATGGTCCTTATCCCTGCCGCAGTTTTGAGGTATTTGGAGACCTCAGAAGGCTCTCTCTGCTTGACCAATGACCAATACTTATAAGCAAAAGAAAAACAGAGAAAGACGACAGATAAATTAGGGACTTTTTAGCTGCCCCCTTAGAATAGGTACAGCCAGAGGAGACAAGGACATGGGTCGATATGTGTTGCTGTCAGTTTCCCAGGCAATGCCCAGCCTCGCTCTTAGACTGGGATGCTAAAGTCGTGTTCCAAGGAAGGCACTCTCCTTTTTGGTTTGCTGTTCCCACTTGGACTGGTAGGTTTGATGAGGCCCACGTAAACCAGCTGGAGCGGACCCTTTTCATCTCCTGTGCCTGTTAATATCCCTCTCCCTCCCTCCACAATTTCATGAGGGCTTTCTTTGGTTAGAGGACTTCAAAGTCTAGAGAAATTCCCCATGTGTGTAACGTGTTGTGAACTGTGAATGCTGCGGACTCACAGCATTCAATCCCAGG